AGGATGGGTCTTAAAACTGTGTTTCTAGCATAGGTGATAGCGCATACTCATTGTCAAGAATGGGGGATGCCTTCAGAGATACAGTTTTTTGTGACTCATGCTGGCCGGGCACTGCTGCCCACGGCTTCAGAGGCGTACTGAAGGAATGCGCACAGTTCGAAGAAACTTTCGATCCTTGTTTAAAAAATAGGGGTGCCTTTCGTCCTGACTGCCTGACTGTTCGCGCTTTCGGCACTATTGCACTATTACAACCCCAGTGGGGGTGAGATGGGTCAAAAAATAATTTTCGCTGAAACTTCTGCTATGGGGGTTATCGAGGGTCCTGATCACGAATATGACATCCATTTTTGGCGCTGGCGCCAAATTGGCGCCAGCTGGCGCCACACTGATTATCACCAAATTCGCTGTAAACTTCTGTATAGGGGTTATTTGGCCCTGATCACGAATATGACACTCGTTTTTGACATTCGTGCTGTTTAACGCATATTTCTAAGCTTTCTCACCTATAGCGCCTAAGACTAAGCTTAGGGGAGGGGGTGAAACTCCGGAGTGGGTAAACCATGCACCGTGTGGCAAAAGTTATCTATAATCACTATTCAAAGGCTTAGTCCTGATTGCGATCTAATTAGTGCGAGGGCGCAGACGAGCAGGAAATAGGCGCCGAATAGCGCCAACAACAAAAACGAATGTCATATTCGTAATCAGGACCCCAAATAACCCCTATACAGAAGTTTACAGCGAATTTGGTGGAATCAGTCGTGGCGCCACCTGGCGCCAGCGCCAAAAATGGATATCATATTCGTGATCAGGACCCTCGATAACCCCCATAGCAGAAGTTTCAGCGAAAATTATTTTTTGACCCATCTCACCCCTACTGGGGTTGTAATAGTGCAATAGTGCCGCGCTTTTTTATACTCTTTACAGCGACGATGGATTTGAAGTCATAACAGTCATGAGAAAGCAATGGCGCCATTGCTATTCCAATGACTTTCAAAGTTCATTGAAAGATCCATCAATCTACTTATAAACATTGATAGTAGGAGAAATTTGGTTAATGCTCACGAATTCTTGTGCATTCAGTGAATCGCAGTGGTTTTCAAAATATCTTCTTCATTTATGCTAACACATATGTAAAATTTTTTGTAAATTAGTAAAATGGAGATTCAGTATTTCATTATTCAAAAACAAGCGCGCTGTTATCGCGGGAAGGTTGCAGAGAAAGCCTCATACTGAATGTTGTCCTTCTTGTATTCAACGTTTTTTCCCATTCCAGTTCGCATCGAAATTTGCAACTATCAACAACCTTGAGCAGGAGATTTCTTCCCTAAAGACTCGAGTTGCCGAACTTGAAGAGGAAAACAAGATACTCAAAAAACAAAATTTGGTATGTTTCTATTTGATGGGCACATATTGTCTTCTCGCAAATAAGCAATTTGAGGGTGTTGGTTTAGAAGACTGACCAAATTCTTGTATGTGAAGAGAAAGCAAAAGAAAGCGAAGCAGAAGATGATAAGCTGGCTCGCTAAAGAAACAGCTGAGTGTGGTCGAGCAACAACTCTACGATAGAGGTCTTGAGGTTCGTGTTGTTTTTTGTGTTTGGTTTGGGTCTGCAACTACGTTCGAGTTCACCTGCTAACAGCACGAACATTCAATGGGCAAAAAAAGAAATTAAAACAACCTTCGTTACCCTGGATGTTCTTGTACCTTCCCTGAAGGATTCATTGTTAAGTAAAATTGTAAAGTTTTGCTAGGACTCGTTCTCACTAATCACTAGGTACGGCGTTGTACCGTTATTCAGAGTGTGTGTTAATATAACAATTAAATTACCAAGCGGAACTCATGAGACGGGGTATCGAAAACTTTAGCTTAGAGACTGAAAACTTCTGTTATTTGAGATGAGTGAATATTTGGTGGTATATGCATCTTCAGCAATTTCAGGTTGACCTTCGGACAAAAGCGTTGACCGAAGCTACTGTTGAACTCGAGGCAGCTTATCGTAAAATCGCTGACTTAACGGATAGTCATACGGCAGCTGCAACGAACTGCAAGGAACTAAGGTGCATTATGGATACATTTACTGAAATTGCCTAATGATATGAATGTGAAGGTGACCAAGAAAGGTTATTAGGTCAACCTCATTGGGTAAATTGTGAATGTGACGAAAAGCGCAGCGGTAGTGGTACGGCTCGCATGGATACGGGAATGTGATCGAATTTAAGCCGAATTTGCTCTTTTGCTTTTCACGATAACTTGTTTGAAAGACGTTCACCTCGTTTTGCCTGTGAGATGCATGTCTGAGCTTAGCGTCCTAAGGCTGGATATTTGCGTCTCATTTTAGTGGGGATTGACCTAACAACCTTTCCTGGTGAAAGCAGAAATTCGTCACCTTAAAAAATACATTAGAGTAAACAAGCTGGGTTTTAGTCATTCACCTCATCCAATCTTTTTTAATTCTTTTCCTGCTCCATCAATACTTGGAAGATTATGGAACAAGGAATTAAAATTTCAGTGACAAGCTCGACGAAACTTTTGCATTGCTTCTGGCTGAAAGAGAACGCGTTTCCGTTGCCGAAGAAGAAATTCGCTCTCTTCGCTCTGCAGGTATGCTTTTTATAATGTCTGCTCCCTGTTCAGTGCAGCATGCTTCTAGTTACAAAGTAATGCGCAGTGTGCTATTTCCATCCATGTCATTACTTTTAGAGTTTTGATTGATCTTACTGAATTCAGGAAATGAAGGCTTCAGCTTCCCCATGACGAATGAGCAAATGGTTGCCAGGGAAATGCGTGAAAAAGCTGCCTACGCACAAAAATTGGAGCAAGAGGTATTTTTCTTCATCGAGCTTTCATTTCGTCCCGTGCTTTGCTACCCCGTAGATCAACAGACCTATAGAACATTGATTAGCGCATATTTTCTCTTTTAATTGTGAATGCGCTGCAATTGGCTTTCTATCAGGAAGCTTCGATCAGGCAGGAATTTTCTCAACTGTGTGTAAGCAAACCTGAGTTTTGTCAGGGGCACATTCTGTTCACTGGTCTTATAGTTGGAAATGTTGTAGAAAGACAAAATTCTATTGTCCTATCTTAACAAATCAGAGGAAAAATTAGAAACTTTCCTTAGTTCTCACCTCCCAACCTTCCTTCTCATAGACAAAGGTATACGACAGAAATGTTTTTTTCTAACAACACCAATAATGTTTTGTATTTTATAGTGCTATTTCAGCTTGAGGAGACGCGAAAACGACTTGAGGACCTAAGTAAACGTTGTGCTGGAAAAGACGAAGAGCTCAGAACGCATATGGAGATCATCAATGTGCTGAAGGAGGTGCGTTAGTTTATAAAGAAAGCTTGAACCGTTGCCGAACGGAAGTTTCAGAAAGTTTTAAAGCGTAGAGTTTCAGGAAGACGGAGAGGGCAGGCGAGAGATTGCTGAAAGGGATCGAAGAATAAAAGAGTTAGAAGATATGGTGCAAGGAATATTTGACCGTGGAGAGGTGAACAACTGCTGATTTTCACAACACTACTTTGTGAACTCGAGGACTATTTCAGTTTTTTTTTCATTTTTTTTTAAACTAGACGTCTCGGTGTGACGCAGCTCCTATTTTCCTTTCATAGTCATTAGTAAAAAAGTTTCGGATGTGGGCTGTTCCTCGCTTAGCATAAGGCTATTGTTCATAGTTGATGATCCAGGCAATCAGAAGATTAGGCAAAGATGCGAGTAGAAGAGATACGGGTGCTAGCGTAGTTGAGGGGGTTCCCATCGCCGCCGCGACGCAGTGTCGAAAACAGTGGCCCCCCCCCCCTCAATTACGCGAGCACCGAATACAACAAAATAAAAAACAAAAAGAAAAAAAACACGTATCGATTAGAGTGTCGTGGTTAGAATCTTTAGAGCGGCGAGGCTGATCGACAGAGTGTGCAGGTGCTACTCGCCCACTGCGTTCTTCCCTATCGTACGTATCTTACCTTTAGTCGTTAGGTCCTGAGTCGTCAAACTGGTGAACGATCCCTCAGACAATGGTTGCCGAACGTGTAGTAGCCATCCATAACGCAGCCTACTTAAATTATATTCGAAATTAGGCGAAAGGTTCCTTCAATGCGTCCTAGTTTGTTGTTAGGTGGCCTAAAACCGTGCCTACCAGCTTAGGCCGTGGGCGAAAGCTAAACAGCTGACTTTCTATCTCTTTGCATTGGTTTGAGTGCCATGCGTTTGCAGTGTTAGTTGGATACAACGACCACAGCAACAGCGCTTAAAGTTGATCAGGTCCGTCAGCAACACTTATGTAATCTGGCCGCGTTGTATATAATGTAAGATTTGAATTGTATCGCAAAGTAAACAATTACAGAATTCAGAAATCCGAAAGTAAGTGCAGCTTCATGTAACTAAAGTACCGCATTTGAAAGGGAGCGTTGCCGCTGGTTAGTTTGGTGTTGGTGTCAGTTTTTTTTTTGCACCTACTTATCGTATTCTTGGTATATCCATGTCGTGAGGAACGTAGAGCGAATATAATTTTTCTTGGCAAGCGTGAAAGTTTTTTTTTTTTTGATAACATAAACGTATTTGCGTTAAGCTGAGGGTTTAACCTGTAGATCCTACTGCTATTTATGAAGTAATTCATAATTCGCTGTACATAACTATTTCAAAGTCCTCTGTACAATAGCTGTACTTATCAAAGAAGGACTGATCATTAGTTTCTAATACCCTTTTGCTATCTTAAAATATTATTGTTGCATGAGTAGGAATTCATAAGGTTCTAACTCATTACTGTTATTTTCACGCACTTCCCTTCGGCTTCATTGTTGTCATTGTACATCTCTTCTATGAACTGACGGAACTTCTTTCTTCTACCATGCCCCGGTGGAATACTCGTAGTCTCATCGTTGTTGAACAATTAAAACCGGTTAACGTGCACTTGTATAGTCTTTGTATAGTCTTCATCGCCTTGTAATTAGATGTATATCGAAATAAATTTAGTTCCAAGCTTTGTTTTTTTGCTGAGCATACTCAAAAGCGAGTACCTCCTCTCCAAAACGTCTCTTTCATAGCAACATCCCATCCCCTAACATTTGTCTCCCCTACCGAGGTGAGGACGAACGCAGGTATGAAATCAGTTGGATTAATAGTACTAGAAAGCGTACGTGATATTGATTTTTTGGAAGCCATCATGTATTTGCCGGTCCGCCTAACAAAAAAGGGAGCTGAAGGAAGCAGCGCCGCCCTACGGCCCATATCTTGCGGAGTATATGGGCCAGAGGAAGCCAACCCGCTTATTCCCGCCGCGGATCCAATTTTAGAAGCGGACGCAGTTGCAGGTGATTGGTGGCAATGAAGGCTAGGCCCAACGGAAAAGAAGGAGATAATGACTGAACGAAGAATCCGTTTTTGCAGGAGAAGTGAGAGAAGGGGTGATCATAAACTTATTGCGAAATTTGTGCTCCAATGCCTAAAGGACCGTGGCTATAATCTAAACACCTGAAACAAATGTGCCCTTCTACCTAGATTCATAGGGTGTCCCGGTCGTATGTTGTTAGGAAAGTTAAACGTAGAGTAAAACCTCAAAACCACCCATAAACAGGCGCTTGAAGCGAATCTCCTTAGAATTACAATCGCAATAAATCGATTTTGGCATGTTTCTTCACGTCCATCGCAAACAGGAAGAATAATAATTAAGGTACCGCGAAACTAAAAAAGCCAATGAGAGCTCTCTTGGCCGAATCTGACGAGTATTTGCATGTTTTGTTAAATGGGTGTTGTAGAGACGGGGGGGGACCTGTGGACAAGAGCCCACTGACACGCGCTGAAGTCAAGTCACGGATCGAGTCCGTCAGGCTGAGGAAGACCTCCATCATTCTGCGAGTCGGTTGAATGGTATCGTATTCGTATAGGAAGATTAGAGCAATGATTTGTATATTGGCTTTTTCCCAAGCCAAACCTCATTCCAACGCTAATTGTGATTCATGATGCGATAGTCGAATGCCAGTGTAATTTGGAAAGATTGATCAAATCTGTGGAGTTCCTATCATAGCCGCATAGTTCTAATAGTCGTTGTTCTGTGACTTCGACCTTTCGCATTATTGCTACTCAATCAAGGTATCGCGTGATAAGGTGATGGCAGGCACCGTGCGGAGATTGTTGCGTATCTCTTCGTTGCTTCGAATTCACTTCGATCGTCGTAGAGGTTTGTTCCATCTTCGGCACATGCCATCATTTTTAAGGGGACAGTCTTTTCAAGATTTGCTCCATTTTTTTCTGTTAAGAAGTTGACATTTTGTGTTCAGCTAATTTGATCCGAAGCGCTCTCTCGTGCGAACAATTTTATATTCTCTTCTAGAATTCCATCTCTGTCAAACAAGGGAAATGGTTTCAAAGCCTACTTCGCAGTACACAACCACAGTGGCCAATTCAGCTCAGTTTATCGACATGAGATCGGACACGGTGATTGAGGCTTGGACCAGTTGATTTTTTACTTTCGAGAATGTTTTCAATCTTTCTAGTGAACTGTAGGTTACCCTTCCTTCTGACGAAATGAAGCAAGCCATGGTGAATGCAATGCTTGGAGATGACGTCTATGGAGAAGATCAGACAGTTAACAAATTGGAGGCCAGGTGCGGCTTTGATACTGGTAATACGATCATAATTCAAGCTTAAATCAGCTTGTTAGACCAACTGATGCACGCCAACCATTGCAAACACGTTGGGGTCTGCGTCACACTAATCCCTATGCTCTCTAGTTTCCGAGTCCGTTCATTCATCGCCACGCGGTGTCTCCTCGTCATACGATTCGTTAGCCCCTCTCCCCGCCAAAAAAGACCCACATGTTTAGCTTTTTAGCATTTTTCTCCTTTTTCACGTCCGCGATGCGAATCTCTCCTTTTATTTTCGAGTGGAGTAATTACACCTACGTAATCGTGGAATGGGTCTTGCAGTAGCAGGTTTGCCCACTCGACACTCGTCTCCTTACCTTTTTTTATTCTGCGGCGCATGGAATTTTATCCATGATTCTCCAGCTTGATCTGAGAATAATGAAACTAAATATAAGGACTTCGGGTAGTCATTCAGAAACATTCGCGATGAGCTCGCATACGCTACACCAATGGGAACAGATTCGTCAGAGAACCATTTTTCAAGGACTATTTGAACTTCGACTTCCTTTATAATCGTAACAAATTTGAAGACAGTTCTGGCTGTACAGTAAGGTGCTGGACCTGACCAGATGCGCAAATTGCCGTACAGATCAGTATTTTATCCTTCCGCATTGTCTTTCGCATACAAATCACGTTCTCTCCGCTTTCCATAATCTGTTGCCGGCCTGCCATAGTGTCTTATCGACCAGGTAGGTATACCTAATTTTCATGCTGAAGCCTTCAGTTGAAATAAGGCCACAGTATAACGTAACGTACGCGATTCCATGCCGGTGTCCGAATTTGCGGATCAGCGAATCGCGGGCTGCCGGCGATGGGCCAGCGGTTCGAACATGCACAGCGACTCGACATTGTAAGAAACTGGCAAGAGTCCTTTCCGTACGCACGTTTGCTCGCCACACCCCGAAGCTCGCGAGGGCATGAGCGTGAGGGGGCGTGACAGCATGGAAAAGTTGCGCGAGTCAACGTGCACGAGAAGGGAACTTTCGCCACTTCTCCACTTATGGTTAGTGTCCAGTGCATTGCTCTGACCGCTGGTGCATCGTTCCAGCCCCACGATTAGCCAACCTTTGTAGTCGGACCTTTGCTTGTGAAGATGTAGCGCGTTTGTTAGCCGTAGAACTTGTAATTCTGCATTGAAAAAGGAAATAAGAAGGAACATAAACTCCGTTTCGCTATGGACCTCGTCTTTCCAGATGTGCAGAACTATTTGGAAAGGAAGCTGGCCTGTTTGTTGCCAGTGGAACCATGGGTAATTTGTTAGCCATAATGGCACATTGCCAACGTGGTGACGAGATCATCGTGGGCAAGCACAACCATATCCATCGCTGGGAGCAGGGTAACTATGCTCAGCTTGCAGGTATGTGCACATATTAATCGTACATCTTGGAACGCCATCCTTTCTATTTGGGAGTAAGGTCTGCCAGCACAAGGGCAAAAGTAGAGCGATACGCATCAAACTGCAAAGCGCTATCCCCATCGGCTCGACTAATCCATCCGTGGAGCTGGAGGTTAGTCAGGAGACTCACCACGCGGCGAACACTAAGGCCGACGTACATCGCGCGCTCGGCATTTGCTGCAGATGGTACCGTATTCAGTAGTCCTCTGTAGTATGCGGTCGCATGGCGCCTATTCCTGGAAGGAATTGTTAGTGGTCGGCCTTGTCGCCACGCTTATGAGGGTGGTGGAAATCTCTAGATTGTAGTTGAAATTTAGCTACCTGTAGCCATATTCCCTCACGGTAATGGTAAGCTCTGTCAGAATTTGCAACTCAAGCAGATTCGTAGCGTCTTTCACAAGAGATGCGCAATCTTTCACTACAGAAGGGTAGCTTTCAATGAAAATATGGTAGGTACGGTAGCTGTCCCATGGCCTAACCTCCCTTAAACGGATTATGGACTACCAACGCGTTTTTCCCCTGAAAGCGTGGGATCACTTTATCGCTTTGAATTTTCTGATTATAGGTGTAAGCGCCACAACGATTGACGTCGATGGCGAAGGTAAGATGAAAATTGAAGACATCGAGGAGGCGATTCGAGTGCGCGATGTCCACATGCCAAACACGCGTCTGATTTGCCTCGAAACCACTCACAACTATTCGGGAGGACGAGCTCTGCCCATGGAATATATCATGTAATCAGCACACCTACCCCTTGATGATTTCCTCCAGCATAGTTTAGCTTGAACCTTAATTTTCTCAGTTCAGATCGGTGCGAGAGTTGGCCTCAAAATATGGTCTCAATGTTCATATCGACGGAGCTCGCATCTACAACGCTTCCATAGCTCTCGGAGTTAAGGTACGGATGCATTTACTTTGTTCTCCATCTAGAAAGGTCATAGCCTGGTGATGGGCTTTTTTTGAATAATATGGGACCAATATATCCCTTCACTTAGGCTCCAAAAATTCCAGCCTTTTCTTCACATGTTG